GCTGACTGTGTCTGCTGGATTCCTGTGTCTCATGTTGACTAGAACTTCTTTTTTTTCCCCTTCCCAGGCTAGAAACCAAAATGACACACTGACTGGAAAGACGGCCACAAGCCACAGAGTGTTAATGGTCACAACAGCTTCATGCTACAGACGTTCAAGCAACAGAAGCATTAAATTTATAACAGCCTGTCTCAGCTGGCTCATCAAGTGGTCATGTAGTATTGTCGTATATTTTTTTTAAAAACACATTTTTACTAACCCTTGTCCAGTTTTTATGTTCTCATGTTGTTGATGTTTTTGGCTTTGTTCCTATGAAATACTGCTGGCATGTTGGCTGTGAAGTGAATCACATAAACAGCACAAGTACTTTCTTTAAACGAAAAGCTTTCATACATGCACTTATTTTGTTTTTTAGAGGCAGAAAAGAAGGCCAAAACCAGTCTAATGCCTGTGCATGCATGGAACCAGGAGATGATTAGCTTAGCTTAGCATAAAGAAACAGAGGAACTGCTGACCAGGCTCAAATCACCTCTAAAGCTCACTAATTAACTCATGGTATCTTGTGTGTTTAATCCATAAACAAACAAATGTGAAAAGGACAACAGCTGGGATGGAGTCTCCACTGGTTCCCTGGCAACCTCTCAGAAAGACTCCTCTGTCTCACATGTGATATAACTGGAAACTATGAATAAAAGTGCATGAATGTAGTTAAAGCTGAGTTCAGGTTCAGTTGAACTATCACTGACACCGTGACACACCAGCAGGGAGTGAGCACAGATTCCCGATTATATTATTTACACAAACTGCCGCATCGTTGAGTTTCTGTAGTCGGCACAAAGCAACGCTCTGCTTTTCCCTAAAATCAGTGCTTCTCCCAGAGGATGGCATGTCTTTGATATGGTGATCTCAGACCGTTTTGCTATGATTTGAGCAGCTGTCCTCAGACACTCTCTCAGGCTTCTCAACAGCTGATTCACAGTGAGTTCTGTTTGAGTTTTATTTGACTCCTGCCCCACAGGGTGCTTGGATTGCACAGGTTGGTTGCCATGGATGTAAGACAAACCTGCACAGGATGGGGAGGAAAAAAAAAAAAAAAGATCTCCCCTGAAGCTTTGCTCAGCAGGCCGCATATTTGCGCGTTGTGCGGGCAAAGTGCACAAACCTCACAACCACTGAATGAAAACATACAGTCCTGAGAGACTCACTGACAGACCAGGAGCTGCAGGGAATAAAGTGATGTGCTGGAAAGCTCAAAGGGCCTCCCGCTGACAGAATGCTATCAACTCATTCTCTATTCTTTCTATTTTTTTTCCTTATCACGGCTATCTTTTGGCTGTGAAATAGCCAGAAAGGCAGCGGTTAGGCTCATTTAAGGACAACATATTGAAATGTTGCACCACATTTCTCCCAAGAAAAGAGAAAAATGTGATGAACCATGACTGCGGGATGACTTTGAAGTTCTTCTTATAATTAACAGCTCAAGCGCTTGTTTTACACTTATTTGCGTTACTGATTATGTTAAAGTATTGAGCGGTTTTGCTACATAAAAGATACCCTTGAAGATTTTTTTTTTTTTTTTAGAACTGTGGCCCATTACAAGCACAAAATCATGAGCGTCAAGTCCCTCAGGAAAAAACATTCTAAATAGCATTTTATGGGTTTGTTTTATTTCTTGGTGTCTCCCGAGTGTTTCAGACTGTTATCCAGCTACATTCCTCTGTTTCTTCATCCCCCTCTTCCTCAGCTGCATCATATAAAGATGCCTAATTGAAGGCTTTGCACAAAACAAATGACCACATTAGCCTACCCCCTTTTAAGTAGTCCCTCTTCCTGTCTGTGGTTGTAATGCATTATACACTCCGCTTGTCGTCTGTTGTCTCTCAGATTACAGTGCAGGCTGCCAATCACTTGGAGACTAAATCTATGGGACTTGTTGTTCTGCTTGCTCCCACCCACCCACTAGGAGATAAATCTTTCCTGTCTATTTTCCTCCTGCACATTACAAAAGTGAATGTTGAAGCAGAACACAGGAACACAAAGTGTTGAGGGCAGCCACTCAATGCAATATTTTTTTTGTTATCTTATTTCAAAAACAATCCGTAAGGTTGTTGGCCCCTTTTTTTTTTTTTTCAGCCTCCATTATAATCTGAAAAACACCCAAAACAAAACCCACAGTCACACAAGATGAGTGAGGAACAGTTTGCTCATATTAATTCAGCATCATTGAACACTCCCTAGATAGGAACGACGGATTAAATGCTTGACTTGTGATTCTTTTATGTCTGCACATGAACAGCAAAAACAGTCCTTTTTTTCCTACCCTGTTAAGATCTAAGAACCTGCCAGACATTTCTGTCCCTCCGTGCTTCCCATACATATTGTGCTACAGTGAGTCTTCTCCATGTGACAAAGGCTGTGAAAACATCTACAGCCAAATAGAACAATGCCACGTGGGTGGTTCTAGTGTGCGTGTGTGTGTGCGCACGCATGTGTGTGTGTGTGTGTGTGTGTGTGCGCGCGCGCATGTGTGCGTGTGTGTGTGTGTGTGTGTAAACAGACACTGAAGACTGTGAGCCAAAAAGTCTGCATCAACATTTGAACAAGCATCAGCTTTCATCAGCGCAGATTTACCTCAAGAGCAGAGCAAACAATATTCAACAGGTGGGGAGGAATACTTTGGCTTGTAGTAAACACTATTTTCACATGTAATTTGGTTGGAATACCAAATACGTCACAGTTGGTGTTTATCAGCTCGTGCTAAGCAATATCTCTAAGTAATCTAAGCAATAACAAGAGAAGATGTGTTTGGATTACAGCTGAGAGTCTTAAGTAGAAATATCCGAGTTTTAGATTAGCGCTATGAAGCAATGAGCAGGTCTTCGACTTGTTGCTAGGCAGTTTTGCCGCTGGTTTTACGATATTCCCCAGATTGACCCTTTGCGGCAGTAATACAGCAACAAATGCAACCAAAGGTGAAGAAGCAACAAAATGCGTAAAACAATGCAGAACTTCAGTGACTAAAAATCCGCTTTGTAAATGTTTTATGAGGAAGCAAATATGGTCAACACTATTGTTAGATCTCTAATTTCTTAGATCTGTAAGAAACACTGAATGCAAACCTAAAATTGGGGACCTTCAATCTATTTCACATATAACAAGAATAACCATTTTAAATCATTTGTCCTGCAACAGTACTAAAATTCTCAAATATGAATATATGCAGAGGTTTGGACTGTTTGCTAGACTTAATCAAGAAAGTGTTGATCAGATTACCAAATAATGAAAATAACTGCCTGGTTTCATTTGCAATTGAAAAAAACTGAATAAAAAAGAAATCACAGCCTTGCAACAGGACAGAACAATTTAATAAATATGATATTTAGAGCAGTTACGCTACAGCTGTGACTCTTAAAGGCGCAACTTAAATGACTGAACGTCTGTTGCCACTCGCATTATGCAGCAGGCTGGATGTTGGAAGCAGCCGCCAATGTTTGTTGACTGATGGGAGACGATGTTGACAGGGAACTCTGTTTGGTTTGGCAGTCGTGCACACTGGCTGCCATTCCACAGACGGAACCGTGCGAGTGTTGCTCATTTTTGTGTGCAATTTTCAAACAGCTACCAGCTCCTGCAGCCTTGTTTGACTTGCTGCCCTGCGTGACCGAAAGTCTCAATACCTAAACCAGAACTTCAAGGGGTAGAAGGAAAAATACACGTAGAGAAATTTAAACAGGAGTCTAAATGCACATTAAAAAGGATAAAGGTGGCAATATTCTATGATTTTATTCCACCAACAAGTAGTGTCTGCGCAATCAAAGACTAATATACTGCAGATTATTCCTCTGTGCCACAGGGCTCCATTGTCCTTCCTATCACTGAATGTGGTGTATTTTTAGTTTGATCATGGATTCACCTTCCTGCTGATCACTAAATGTGCATTTTAAAAAAAGCCTGAACAAATGCACTTTGTAGCTTTCTGTGAGTAATGAAGTTTGATATAGTTAAGTCAAATTATGTCTTTGTGAGCTTACATCGTCAGTAGCAACTAATCAGATCAGTGATGAGAACTACAGAAAAGGTAAAGAAGCCTTGGACCTTGATGATGTTTGCAACAAGGATTTTATGTCAACTTCAGAGCCTGAACAGACACATCAAACATCTGACAGCAAACACAGGGCATTGCCCCTGCAAAACCGCAAAACTAAAACACTGTGATCACGCCAGACTCTCCCATAAATCATTTGAGCTGAGGAGGAGGATAACAGCACGTCTTTTAAACTGAGAGGCATCGTTAAAGTGAATTGGCTTAATGATATGTCTGAGACTGTACATTAAAGTCATAAGCTCTGGATTTGTTGCCCACCCATTTCTGGCCATCATATGACAGATATCAGCCACCGCGGGAGAAACATCCCACACTGGGCAGGAAAAGCACTCAAGACAGAGGCAAGTTGCTACCTGCAAGTCATTGTTGAGTGAAAGGATGGAGAGAAATGGAAACAACACATGTGCACAGACGGATGCCCACTTTAGCTTGTTTGAAGATGCGTCCGTGATGGGATAACTGTTATTCCGTTGTCTAAATCTGAGGGTTTCATTGTATTCTCAGGAATACAATGCAGCAGGACACCTTGCACAGAAAAAGAGGTTATTAGTAAAAGCCCCGGTACATATCCCTGACAGACGTTTACCCCTACACGCGGCCTCCCGAGCCTCTAACAGGAACAGCCAACTTATCTAATCTGAAGATCAGATGCTAGTGGTAGATGTGGAAGGAGGACAGACCCTGCTCTGTTTGCTCTGAAGTGGAGCCTTATTACACACTCACCGATTCAGCCACTGTTTTTACAGCACCCACACAAACCCCAAAGTCCTCAGTGTCTACTCAGAGCTCAGAAGTACACACAAACATCCACACGTGTGTATTATCATGATAAACATTTGCGCTTATGAATTTACAACGGCGATGCACACACAAACAGAGAGCGGTTAAAGCTTACCTTGAAAAGCAGCCACATTGCGCGATATGAGAAACTTGAGGCTGGAGCTGGACGTCTGGAGGAGGTTCTGGATATCTCTCCGGGCCGCCACCTGGTACTTCTCCTCCATTTTTTTCGTGCAGCACGTCAGATTTTTGGACGCACAAACCTGGAGGTCTGAACCTAAGAGTCATCAAGATGAAATGTTGTGATTTTAAAGCATCGTGGACAGCAGCAGCCAAAGTTAAAATGGGACAAAACTCAATTTAGATGGGATAAAGTACAACATATAAAGCAAATGTAGTCAAATATATCTGATAACATTTCTGTATTTTGGTGCACCTTGTGTAATTTAAGCATGAAGACAAGTGTCCTTCCCAGCTGCCATGTGTATGAGTGAGGAAACAGATTGCATTGTGATTTACAAATCCTTTCATCATGCAGACTAGTTTCTCATCCAGATAAAATGTCTTTGGGGTTTTTTAAATACTCTCAGGGGCATTTTGTGTTTTTCTAAAATAACCACCAGGTATTTATTTTTCAGAGGAACAAACACTTTTCTCTGTGACTTGAATCTAAAACACAAAAGGCATAAAGTGAGTGCAGAGATTTGCATGTTGTCTTTAGGGTGCTCTATTTTCTTTTACACATTCCAAAGAAATAGCAAATCAGGTGCATCTGACACCCTAGATGGCCCGAAGGCATGAATACGTGTCTAACTATCTTCTGCATTATCTGCATGACAGACTCGCGAAAACTGACAAGAAGCTTTCCTAACTTTAGAAACATTAATCAACAAGGGAACAAGATACTAGCAGCTCAGTGAGGCTCTGACGCTGGAATGCAAATATGCCCCCAATCACAATGAAACGTTCATTCATTCATTCATTCATTCAGCGTTTGATTCTGATAATTATTTCAAAGCCAAAATGGTGGTAGACATTCCTAAAACATGAGTTAAAGACAGGACAATAATGTTTTTCTAGTGGGGCACAAGGTTTTTTAAAAAAAATGCTTGAGTGAAGCAAGAAAACCAAAACATCTCAATCCTGAGGGAAGATCTGAGTGGAAGCGTTATCACCTCCACTCAACTGATGTCCTGAATTTTCCACTATGAACAAATGTAGGCTGTCTGCACACATACGGGACAATCAAAACATCTTAAAAGCGACCCAAAACTGTGCAAAAGCCCTTCCTGACATGTCTAGGCAATGTGCAGGGGCTGTTGCCAGAGACGCTATCAGCTCGCTGTGAGGCTTCAAGAGTGAGGAGGGAACAGAGCAGAGCAATGGAGGAAATTCAAAGCCCTCCCAGATAAGACAACATGAAAGTGCCCCAGGTCTTGCTTTTTTAACCTAAATGCTTCCCAGAACTATTTGCCACTTCCAACACAACAGACTGCAGCATTTTTGCAGCCGAGGCGATAGACCTCCGACTTGCTGTGTTCTGACCTAAACGGAAAGCTGTCTGGCTCTTCTTATCAGACAGGCAAATGTGGAAACAGCTCTCTCTCTCTCAGATTCCTGGAATTTCTGGGGGCTATTTTTCACAAACCTAGACTCAATTATAGATAAGTTGCAAAAAAAAGCAAACGACTACACTTCTCGCTATCTCCCATTACACTATCTGATGTATTTCAGGACGTTAATCTGAATCCATCAAGGAAACGATTTACATCTTTCGAGATGCATTTGGACTTGGGAAAACCTTTGAGCAGTGCCAGAAAGGTCAGCAGTAGTGCATTTAAACAGTAGCAAGTGTTTTTACAGGGTTAGTGCCCACTCAATCAGGAGCTTATCATCACTTAAACTAAAGGAGCCCCCCCCCCCAATGCACACAATTTATCTCAGAGAAAGTACCTCTCAGTTTGCAAATCTGCACTGAAACAGCGCAGAGGCTTAAATTCCACACAGGCTGGTTTAAGGGGGCAGGAGATGGTGATGGTATTATAAGGGTTATTTAGAGGTTTAGGAGGTATTTAAGGGTTTTTCTGTCCATTTCTTCTCAGCAGCAGGGGAACAGGGCGATGAAGTTTATAGGGAGCAGTTTGTGGCAGGATGGCAGTCAACACCATTAAGATTTACTTTTTTCCCAAAAAAAAGAGCACAGAGAGCAGCAGAAAGCCATCCAGTCAATGACAGCCTGCATGAAATATCCACACCCATAATTCCCTCCTCCAGTCTTGTACAGAATTACCATGGGTGGCGTTCATGAAGTTAAGTGAGGCCTAGTTTACCTAACTTTACACAAAATAATTCCTGTTTATCCCTGCAAGCCACTTATCTGCTGTAAACACCCAAAGGAGGGAGGAGAGATTTTTTTTCTTTCTTTTTCATCATGACCAACAAGAAATCTCAGCTGCTTTAGTTCCTGGTTTCATAGAATGAAAAACAACTTGATTTATAGGAAACCCTGAACTGCTGGTGATACAGGGAAGTAGACAATGAAGAAGGATGTTTTACAGACTCACAAATCAGAGTACAGACATTCATTATGAACCTGACATCCAGTTTAACGTGAATTAGAGTCAAACAGAAGAATGTATTTGTTTTATTCTTGCAGAAACTGTAGATACATACAAGATTTCCTCCAAATATCTTGATTTAAAGATGCACTTGAAGTCCTCAGGTTGCACTGTCTATGTCATTATCATAACTGCACATACACACGCCCTTGAAATGTGTTTAAAATGTGTGTTTTGTGACGCCAAGGAGCACTTGCAGAAACTAGAAAATGACAGGTTTAAAGGCATCAAAGCAGTCAATGAGCTGTGCAAGCAAGGTGTAGCCGAGTTTCTCTCAATCAGAGGAGCTGTTGATTGGTTGCTATGAAGATGTGAATGAATAAACACGCTGCTTGGTTTTGTGAGGGTTTTATCTGCTCATTTCTGGAAGTAAAATCTCTCAACATTACCTGGTCTGGGACTTAAAGGCAGCAACTGATTTGGTCCGATTTGCCTGAGTTGGAAAACTTTGCGCACTTCGTCGCATTTGTTAGAGCTTCCAAACCCTGATCCACAGCAGCACGTCAGGAAGAAAACGCAGTGCGTCCACAGCGAAACCATGTTATTAAAATCCCAAGTTAATGATTCCAGACAGAAAAAAATAATGACGCCCGTTCGGAAGTTTCCTCCTAAACCTTGATGCCAGGTATCAGGTGAGTCCGCATGTCAGGAATCAGCGTCGACCATGTGGCGTTTGTCGAGAAAACACAAACGCTCCGGATGAAGCTTTAAATCCAGACGCAGATGGAAAGTTGCGGCGGTGTGACTTGTCTGTTTAAAAGCGGCATGTTGGCCAAGTTGGTTGGACCGACAGCAGAGGCGGTACCGTAATGTTACCTGCACTCCGCGGCTGGATCCTTTGCGGAAGAGCAGCCACGCAGCGCCATCTAGTGGGTGATGCCTGGGCTCTGGTTTTACGCTTTATCATTGACGCTAAATGGCAATTAAAACATTATGTGGGCTCCAGAAATTATGTAATCTGAAGAAGTTGCCTCAATAAAAATGAACTTTCATCAGTAAAATCAGCTGAAAATGAGGTCGTATGTGTTTTTGTTTTTTTAGGGAAGTTTGAAAATGTTCGAGCTTAATGCAGCCTGAATGACATCACAAGTAATGAAGCAGTAGCCTACTCTTTCTTTTTTTTTTTTTTTAAATCAAATAGTTTCTTTCTTTTAAAAAAAAACTCTCATAAAAATTATCAGTTGACAAGGAGGTTATAAGTGGATTTCTTGGGGGACCTAAGTTTCTTTTGTTGGTTTGGTTTTTGTGCTTAATGTAGCCAGAATTACATCTTAACTACCTTTAATAACCTACACACTTTTAAATCCAAATAGTTTTTATTTTATTATTGATATCAGGAGAAAAGAAGGTTGCATTTGGATCTTTTTATGGTACCTTGTTTTTGTTTTGTTTGCCAAATGCAGCCAGAATTACATCTAACTACCTTTAATAGTGACCTGTTTTTATTTTTTTAATTTTTATTTTATTTGTTTTTGCATTAAACATTGATGTCAGGGACAGGGAGGTTGCATGTGGATTTGTTTTATGAAACTTTGTATTTTTTGTGCCTAATGCACATCTAACTACTTTAAATAGTAGGCTATTCAGCTCTGAATTTTCTTTACTTTTATCATCTTTACCAGCTGAACAGAAGGTCATGAGGATCTTTTATGGAACTTTTTTTGTGCTTAGTGCAGCCAGAATTACATCTATCTTAAATACTAACCTACTCAGTAACTGCTTTCTTCCTTTTATCATTATTATTAGCTGATAAGGAGATCTTATGTGGATTTTTTTTAGGGAAGTTTGAATTTGTCTGTTGCAGCCAAAATTACTACTGTAAATAGTAACATTCAGTTTTTAGATCTTTAATCGCAGTGTAAAATCCTATTTTAAATCTGATGTTATAATTTTAATCGCATTTCTACTGGTGTTTATTAAATTTGAAAGGGTCTGCTTACAAGTCAACTGAATGTGTAGTTTTGTCCCTATAACAGTTTTTGTACCAAAAACCTAACCCAAGCTTATTTCATGCTAGTGTTCAAAGCTCACTTCATTATTTCCTGAATGCATATTTAGGATGCAGGATTAGTGCATAGGTACACTGTCTCTTGTTCCGTGTGTACCAATACTTTCCTTGAATTTGAACTAGTCTGATAAAACTGACACCAGCACTGTTTGCAGACAGAAAACTTGATTCTTTAGTAGATTAAAATGTAAAGCATGTAAACCTAGTTGGAAAACATCATGCAATTCAATCCTGTGGCAAAAGCAGCCAGCATGACACCAATTAGTATAATGTCGGTAAATTGTTTAATGAGATTGCAGTGTGGAGGCAAGTTAAGGTTATTGGCTGAAAAATTGATGGTTGATGTCATCCGTAATGTAAAGTCACACATTCAGTTTCTGACATGGTGGCATTGTAAAGTGAAATGGCATAATTTAAAGCCTTCCACTTAAAATCCAGCTGAGAGGCAACAACTCAAAACATGATGCGTGTAAACACATTAAACTGCAATCTTATTAAATCGATTCAAATAATAAATCACACACCAAAAAAAAAAGTGTATAACACATTTAATACATTTCAAGCAACACTACAATTACCAATTTAAACAAACACCAATATCAGACCAAAACATTGTGAAACAGTTTTCCAAATCAACATTCAGGTCAAGATCCAGGTCAGCTCCATCTCCTCGATCCTCCACAGGCCGGGACAAGTGCAATACCTCCAGATACACAGCATTGCTACTAATCCCCACCTGCACAGGAAGGGACGTCTCCAAAACATCCAAGGATGTGCAAAAACCCACCATGTGAAAGACAAAAAATATGAGAAGCAATGGGGAATATAGCTCATCAACCTAGTCAGTTTTGCATGGATTTGCACAGCAAACACCCGTTAAAGCTGAATGCAAACCAGCAAAACTGACCGAGTGATGATTAACAGATTCGCCTTTGATGATTAAACACGTCTGGCTTCGGAAAGATGCAGTTAGAAGTACTTCAAGTGCTTACATTGCAGTAGATAGGAAAAAACACTACCTGCACTATAAGCACTTTAGTACTGCTGAAACTGAGGTCACCAGATGAGAACTGGCAAATATTCCTGGTTTGTGAACAGTGTTATTGGTGTGTTATATAATCAAATATTGTTTTGGATGTGACACCCCCAAAACCAAAAATCTAAACAGGTGGAGAGCAAGCAGGCCACCATCAGTTTTGCATAGATTTGCACAACTCATCTATTCTTGTAGTGCAACTATGCAAAACTAGCAGAGAACTGCAAGATATTTGAGCCCAATTAGAGATTAAAAATGGTCTGGTGGCGCATATCACAGCCCCTTATGCCAGAAGGAGCACTTAGGGCAGTAGGTGCTAGTCTATTTCACTATCTGCACTAGATGCACCTTAGCACAAAGACAGTACTTCAAAAATGACATGTAACATCAAAGTGTGTGCACATCAGTGTCAGGGTATTGCTGTAAGTGCCTCCACTGCAGTAGGTATTACATAGTACTACCTGCACTGTAAGCACTTTGACAATACACGGACGGATTACAGCATCAGTGCCCCTCCACCACGGAGAAGACGGTCACACTGCTCCGTGACCAGTTGGTGGTCTTGCACCTCATGGTGGATCTGGAAACGAGAAAAAAACAAAACAAAAAACGGCATGGTTGATGATTAAAGGCAATGAGTAAGACTTTGTGGCGTTGCAACAAGTTTCACATGCAGGTTGTTGTGTGCGCACGTGTAACGGATTTCTTGCAATCACATCTAAAACATGGTTTTGGCCTGTCCCTCCGTCAGAGCTGTACATCACCGTCGCTGGTTAATCGATAAACACACCATTAAACTTATGGCACAAGATGTTTTGGTGTATTTGAGCAGCACGAGGTCAGTGAAAACATGAATGAGTACACAACCTGCGGCCCGCGTTCCCTGCGACACGGCAGCGCCTGCGCACCGACCACTGTTGTTCACCCCTCCCCCACCTTTTTAACATGGCGCCTCGAAGTGCGCCAACCTTAGCATAAACGACTTTAAACCGACCCAGTTAAACGCAAATGTGGCGTGGCACACGACCAAAATCCGCCGCTGCGTGTCGTTTGTCCACAGGGATAGCCACGGCTCGCGGTTTCGGACGTCCTAGAAAACAAGGCTACTGTCCGTGTGGGAGCGGAGGCTAGCAGCAAACAGCAGCCGTGCGCTGCGCTGCCCGAGCAATGTAGCTTAGCCGCGGCTGTTAGCTTCATGAAAACATGGCAGAAAAAGCGGCTGCTCTTGGCCCAAAACTACCAGTGGAAATGGCACAATGGCTGTGTGTTCTGTGAAAACACTTCGCTCGTTCTTGTATCTGCTTCGCAAGCTAATAAAACTGGAATTGAGTTTGACGATACTGATTAGCCATTAGCCAACAACAAACGAGCACACGTTTAAAAAAAATACACGAACGGCACATCTGTCCCGTTAGCTTGTCCGTCTAACCCATATCTTTGTAGCACTCCCGCCTTAATAATGTTATGTTTGGGGTAACTCGGTAAAACTACTCTTAAGTTCCTGCGGCTAGGCTAAGCTAGCTAAGCTAAAACGCGCGGCCTAAAACTGCCCCATGTGCTGCTGCTTTGTTCTGGGGGGCACTTTAACTCACACACCACTGCACTCGAGACTGAGCAGCAAATTGACCAGATTTACAAACTAACTTTTCAAATATCTCCCCGGCATGTTTGTACGAACTCGGGGTTTGTTACCGAAAGGCCGGATATTTTTCAACTAGTTGCTAAAGCGCAGCGGAGAAACCTCCGAGCAGCTTTTCAAATCTCCCTCATTCCCTCAATGGTGGAGCCGAGGGGGCTGCCATGCGCCTCACGTTACACTGTTTTCATCGCCAACATATCATTTATGTGTTAATGTTTGCGTATCCCCCCCGCCGGCTCGATATAAAGACACGTAAAAACAGGCTTAATACACACCTTTTTGGGGTTTCATTCACTAAAACAGAGATTAAAAAAATAACCCAAAACCCGACTTCCTTGCCGATAAACATGCGCTCGGTAGACACTCACCAGCCGAAATCCACCATCTTCGCTCACTTGCTTGGGCTGCCGTGTAGTCTCTTACCGACAAAAGAGACAAATAAATACGTAACTATTCCGAAAACTTTTCTAACGGCTGACAAAAACGGAACGTAAAGTGAAATCCGAGCCGATTGTGAGTCAATTTATGGCCCAGATACGCTGCTTAAAAATGATTGCGGGGTTAGGAAAGTGGCGCGAAGGCGACCAGTTGGTAACCATGTGGGTGAATGAAGGGCGGCTCCCACTGAACGTAAATATCTAGCTACAACCCCCAACTCCCCTATTAGCATACATAAACTACGGTACTTCCGACCCACATCTCCAACCAAACAGCCTCCACCTCTCCCGAGGAAGGAGAGGCAAACAGGCAGGGATCTCTGCTGCTCTCAGCACCATTAATACTAATTTATATTACACGCATTACGGGAAACAGCCTGTTTATGCAGCTTTTATGGCAAGTTTTACAACACGACGAAATTATATGTAATCTTACACCGTGGATTTATTTATTTGG